TCAACCCTATTAGACTGGGTAACATCTAGATTAAGAATTTTTTCTCTTCCCACTGGATATTACAGTCCTTTATATATAGGTTTGATCCTTAAACCTGGGCCAGTCTCCTCCGTTGGAGTTTTCAATCTTCTGAGTGTCCTTGTTGCTTGCAGCATAGGTGGGGCAGGAGAAAGGCAAAGCAGTGGGCCTCTGTGTTCTATTTTATACCCTTAGTCCATGTGCTTGGAGAATGAAAATCCAGACATGTTTGTTGGGCATTGCTGGGTCACCAGACAAGGTTGAGCAGTTCCCCTGGTGTGGCCTTGTGCAGGTGAGTCATTGAATTGTAACTCCTTTGCTGGACAGCAGCTGTTGATGGTTGTTTAGCACCCACCCGGGGGCGTTGGTTACCTCTTCCCTTGTCATTGTCTCTGGAGAGCTAGTATCTTGGCACTTCCCACAGCATATTTTAGTGAAAACCACACAATTCTTATAATTTCATATGCATTGATGATATACATATTTAGCTAGAACAATAGCTTTCAGCAGGTCATAACCTTTCCCCTGATACCTTATATGGCATTCTTTATATGCAATATCACAGTTATATAGAAATGAGGAATTTGGGGGTTACAGGGTGCTCCCCTGAGGTATAGAATGTCACAAATACCATCTGGTCCTCTTGACTTATTACTATTTAATTTATCAGTTTGTTCTGAAGCCTCCTCTACTGACACCTCAATCTGGGACAGTTCCTTAGATTTGTGTCCTAAAAAGAAAGGCTCAGGCGTGGGAATCTCCACCACATCCTCTGTAGTGAAGATGGATGCAAATAACTCATTTAGCTTCTCCTCAATGGCCATATTTTCCTTGAGTGCTCCTTTAGCACCTCAATTGTTTGGTAGTGCCACTGACTGTTGGACAGGTTTCATGCTTCTAATGTACTTTTTAAAAAGTTGGTTAGTTTGTGTCTTTTGCTAGTTGTTCTTCAAATTCTTTCTTGAAGTGCCTTATTATATACTCCTGTGGGGAATTCTGCACCAAAAAATTAAAAATTCTGTGCACAATATTTTAAAATTCTCCAAAATTCTGCATATTTTATTTGTCAAAATAGCACAATATAATCACTCCAGTTTAAATTATTTTGATAATTTATTGCAAAATACTTGTCAACAAGTATGTCAATACAGACAACAGCAAAAAAGATTCCCCTAGGAGTAGAGAGTTAAAGAAACCCTTACAACAACCCAGTTCTAGTTGCAGGGTGTTGGAGGAGCTGTGTGTGGCCCCCAGAGCCCAGACACCTGAACTCCCATCCCTCCAGAGCCAAGCCATGGGGCACTTCCTACCCTCCTGCAGACCCTAGCCATGGGACACCCCCCAGACACCAGCACACCCCTGCCCCGCAGAGCCAAGCCATGGGGCAGACACCAGCCCACCCTTCCCACAGCCTCCAGACACCAGCTCCCCCCAACACAGCCCAGACACCAGCATCCCTAGAGCCTTTACTCCCCCCAATTTATTTACTGTTCCACCGGGGGACATGGTGTAGTGTGGCCCTGCCCTTCCTCACCCTGTGCCAGAGCTGGCTGGATCTCCCAGGCCCTCTCTCATCTGGGGAAGAATGAGGATCAAAGAGTGTGTAGCCTCCAGCCTAGCTAGGCTGGGCACTCCATTCACTGCGAGCTGGGCTCTGCAGAGTTCAGCGGCCCCTAGTGGTGGCCGGAAATTCTGCGGGGAAAACAGGGAATTCTGCAAAATTCTGTATTCCGCAATGGCGCAGAATTGCCCCAGGAGTAATATACTTTTACCCTTGACTTATCAAAGTTTATGCTCCTTTTTCTTTTCATCACTGGGATTTGACTACAGATTTTCAAAGGATGTGGTTTTGCCTCTGCCTCTTTTACTCTGCTGTTTAGCTATGGTGGCATTTTTTGGTCCTTCTAGGGGCTTTTTTATTTGGGGTATACATTTATTGTGAACCTCTGTTTTGGTGTTTTTAAATAGTCCCCGTGCAGCCATTTGGCCTTTCAGCTGTTCCTTTTAATTTCCGTTTAACTACCTTCTTCATTTTGTTTAGTTCCCCTTTTTTATATTAAATGCTACTGTGTTTGGTTTCTTTGGCATTTTCCCCCCTTCAGTGATGTTAAATTTAATTACATTATGGTTGCTCTTCCTGAGCAGTTCAGCTGTATTCACCTCTTGGACTAGATCCTGTGCTCCACTTAGGACTAAATCAAGAATTGCCTCTCCAGGATAAGATGCTCCAAGAAGCAGTCGTTTATGGTGTCTAGAAGTTTTATCTCTACGTCCTGAGGTGATATTACCCAGTCAACATGACGATAGTTGAAATTCCCTTTTATTATTGCATTTTCTGTTATTCTTTTAAATCTCCCTGAGCATTTCACAGTCACTGTCGCCATCTTGGTCAGTGGTTGGTAGTATGTTCCTACTACTGTTCTCTTATTGTTCAAGCATAGAATTTCTATCCATAGTGATTCTTTGGTACAGTTTGATTCATTTAAGATTTTTATTGTATTTGACTCTATGCTTTCTTTCACATACACCAGCATGACCTACTCTGTCATTCTTGTATGTTTTGTACTGATATTACTGTATCCCGTTGATTATCCTCATTTCACCAAGTTCCTGTGATGCCTCTTACATCATTATCCTCATTTACTACTAGGCACTCTAATTTGCCCATTTTAGCAGTTGTATATAAGCACTTGTACAGTTTGTCAATATTCAGTTGCTTGCCTTCAAGTGTTATATTTAAATGGGACTCTCATGTTTGATTTTTTCCTCACTATCTACTATTTGTACTTTACCAACTTCTTTCCTATTATCTTTACGAGGATATAGACTTCCCCTTTAATAAATGTATCCATAAGGGAAGTCTCTGCCTATACCATATGGTCCTCTGTGCCTGTTGGCTTTCACCCAGCCCTTAGTTTAAAAAATCCTCTTTAATTTAACCATTTAACCTTTTTAATTTTACATGCCAGCAGACTGGTTCCATTTTGGTTTAGGTGGAGCCCGTCCTTTCTGCATAGGCTCCTCCTTTCCCAAAAGGTTCCCAGTTTGTAATAAACCTTTAAATCCTCCTCTCTTCACCATTGTCTCATCCACACATTGAGACCTTAGAGTTCTGCCTGTCTTTCTGGCCCTGCTCATGGAACTGGAAGCATTTCACAGAATGTTACCAGGGAGGTCCTGGACTTTAATCTCTTACCTACCAACCAAAATTTGACCTCCAGGACATCTTTTCTACTTTTCCCTATATCACTGGTACCTCCAGTTCCTCTGCAACATTGCTCTGGGAGGGAGGGGAGAGGATCGGGAACGCGGCATGCTCAGGGGAGGAAGCGGGGAAGAGGTGGGGCCAGGGTGGGGATTTGGGGAAGGAGTCCAATAGGGGCAAGGAGGGGGTGGAGTTGGGGCGGGGACTTTGGGAAAGGGGTTGGAATGGGGGCAGGGCAGGGGTGGAGTTGGGGTGGGATAGGGAGGGGGTCTAGCACCCACCGGCGCCAGGAGAAGTTGGTGCCTATGTCTCTGGGGGACATGAGTAATTTGCACCACATGCACACCTACAGCTCCTGCATATGAGGCAGGTAATCATACGTGCTACATGCAGTGAAATAAATTTGACATCGCCCACTGTGCTGCTAGACTTCTGCCTGCAATATTTTTACTCTTGCAGGGGTTGTGTTGTTTTATTGTTTTTGTTTGGAGGTGGGTGTAATTGGCCTAAGTTTGTTTGTTAGGTATGTTTGTTAGGTGTATTGGGGTTATTGTTGTTCTTCACCTACAATTTCATCCTTGCAATGAACAACAGCTATCATCCTCTCTTAGCCTTTTTAGTTGCAGCCAGCCTTTTTGGTGTTCTTAAATCACAGCAACATCATATTACAGCTTTTAACATAGTTTATATATATCTGTGGGGTAATGATTATATTTTATCAACATTGTTTTGTGGTATGTAGTTGAACTAGTGGTTTCTTATTTTAAATGTTTGTTTTTTCCTAAGTTCAGATAGAAAATATTTTTAGCTGCACTTCTTACTTTTGTTTTTCCAAAGAGGGTGAAACATTCTATTTAGAAACACTGGAATGGTGTAGTAAACTAGGTTACTGCCGCCTTATTAGCCTTCCAGAGAATTTTTTAGGGGCAGTATCACTTTAAGAAGAATGCAGCATCCCCTAAGAAGGGGAGGCTGAACATTAGCAGGCTCTAAGAAGATCCTTACCATGGGTTGTTTGCCCCACATGGATTTGGAGGTCACTAGGGCCCCAAGGTTTCTTGCAGTCCTTTTGCTGCTGTACGTAGAGCAGGGAAGAGTCCCTGCCAGTGTCAGAACGCTCACTGACCAAGTTTGGAGTGTGTACTGCAAAGCTCTGGCTGTCCAAGGATGAGAAGGTACCTCTGGGGCCAATTTATTACCTACTCCCTTCCTCAGTTGCATCCTTTCCCTCATTTTCCATATTCAGTAGTCAATATCACGCACAAATCCCATCCACACAAATCAACTCATAGAGTTTGGAATTGCACATAAGGCTTTGTTGCCTGGTGTTACTGACACTTCCTGATGAATTATGGATTCCTGTTAAAGGACCATTCCTATTGGGAAATTCTGTGGAGAACTGAAGTCCCCCTGGTGATCGTGAAACGGTGGGGTACTCCTAGGGCATATGTGCCCAAAGTGCTGGTTCAGAGTGGTGGGGATTGGAGACTGTCTCCCCTCATCCTGGCTCCTTGGTGCTCTTAGCAGTAGTTGCTCCAAAGAAGTGCATTATTGCCCTTACAATAGTTAATTACCTTTGTAATCGGATAGGAGAGAATTTTGAGAGAAGGTTATTTTTCAGTGCAGTTGGTCCTAAAAGAGTGAAGAGTGTTTTGTGAAGTCTGTGGAATTGTGAACATCAATAGGTGTCATGAAAAGCCCACTAAAACGTTACGAAGGAAAGGAGAATAGAAAAAAAATAATTCTACTGGCAGGTGTCTTTGTGCTTTTTCAACAGAGCTAAACAGTAGTGATTTAAAAGACTGTATCAGTGATAATAGCCTGAGTAGCAATGCTAGTCTTCCTAGTGTACAGAGCTGTCGACGACTCCGAGAAAGAAGAGTTGCAAGCTGGGCCGTTTCATTTGAACGTCTTCTGCAGGATCCTGTTGGAGTTAGATTTTTCTCAGTAAGTAGTGAGGGGCAAGAAGGGGGCTTCCAAAACATCTAATATCTCTGTAAAGATTTTTTCCTGTGATTGTTTTCTGTTTTTCTTGGCACTGTCCTTAGATTTTAGAGTCAAGAGATTATTGTAACTCAAAAGGATTGACACTTCAAGCATATTTATTAGAAAAAACTAACTGTCTTTTCAGCTGGACCAAGTTTAAAGAAAACCTGCAGGTTCCTACATACTGTAGTACAGTGGATGTCCAATACTCTTTTAGCTGATGGCAATGAAAATTTTTCCCTTATCCTTTGTGACTGAATATTTAGTAAGGCTTCCATATTTCCTATGTCAGTGGCATTCAACTGGATTTGCAACCGTAGGCAAGATAATATTTTTACAGTTGTAAATGTCTTTCTAAATAATTTTTAAAGAATTGATAGACTAGTCAGCTATTTGCATGATCAAAACTTTGTTTTGTCCACATGGAAGTTTCTTTCAATTGATGTGCAAGTCTGTCCAGTTATACTGGACAGGTGCATTTCCCAAGTGTGAATTAAACCTCGCAGCACCTTTGTGAGGGAATAAGTAATGTTATCCCCATTTTAAAAATAAGGAAATTGTGAGGCACTTACAGGTTATTTGACTTGGCCACAGTCACACAAAGTCTGTTGCAGAACACAGATCTGAGTCAAGAAAATGAGTTAATGTTGTCAAAACTATTTTCACAAGCAAACTAAATAAAAATGTAAGGGGGTATGTGTTAAATTCTGCAGAAAGCCTTCGCACCCAAAACAGTCCTTTCTGTTCCTTAGGCTTTTAATTATCCTAGCAACAACTAGGATCTCTGGAAAAGATTTGTTGAAATGGTGGACATTTTTGCCAGTGTTGATGGAAATTTCTTTAACGCATTTTTGCAACATTTAGAGAGGATCACTCATAATTTTATACAATTTGCTTAACCTAAATGAAGTAACTGTACTACGAAAATGTTTGCAAAATGACATCAGAAGATAGCCAGACAAAAAAAGCAGAATCTACAGGGTCTCTTTATAATTGCATCAGCAAATAAAGGAGAGATCTGAATCTATGTATGGACTTAATGATTCACTCTCATGAGAAAGAGAGAAGTCATTGCAGAGATGTGCTGAGCCTTTAATGGCAAAATGCACACCTTCTGTCTCCCTAGCATCCCATTACAAAATAATATGTCCAGTTATTTTAAAATAAGAAAGTACAGTGTGCTAATCCTCCAGGGCCTGAGTTTGAAGAGCATAGTTTTACACACACCTGACTTGCAGAGTCCTTGATGCATGCACACAAGCTGCAGTTCTTCTCCAAGGAGTGTCCTGTGGGTGCTCCACTTCCTGTTGATGCATCTCTGCATCTTTAGAGAATTTCAGCAGCAGCGTTCATCCGGGTCGTGCACGCGATGTCACTGTCTTGCGCTGTTTTCAGCGCCTATCTTGTTCCGCGACCTGATCTCTCTCAGTTCCTTCTCAACCGTCCTTGGCCTGAGACAGAGCTCTCAGCAGTGTGACAGCTGATATCTTTATTTACTGTGTAGAATAGTTAGAGTAGTTGTTTGTTTACTAGTTAGAGTTACCTACCCTTTTTCTTCCTCCTTTATTTTTATCAATTTTTTAAAAATTTATTTCCTACCCTTACCATAATTCAAGCCATGCCCGATTCACCGGGTTTCAAGCTCTTCCTTTCCTGCCAGGAAGCTATCAGGGTATTGGATGATAACTCTCAATGTGTCCGATGCTTAGGTGAGACACATATCCCACAAAAGTGTTTTCACTGCCACAACTTAAAGGCTCACACCGGGAAGAACAGAAACCTGCATCTAAAACTTATCCTTATGGAAAAGTCTCTGTGCCTGACATCTCATTCCAGCCAGCAGACACCCTACTAAAAAGTAACAGGGAAAAGAACAGCATTTTCTCCTTCAAAAGCGCCCCCGAAAAAGAAGTGGTCTGCAGCTCATTCGATATCCTTGGTATGGACCACACTGTGGCTGAGTATGTATGAGGCACGAGGATCCTCCAGCGCCGCCCACGCCATACCTTCTGCTGAATCCAAGTGGGCAGACTCTGAGTCAAGAGGCAAACAAAAGCCCATCTCCTCTGTTGTGGTACCAGTGGAACCGCTGAAAGATGCGGACCGAGACTCCCCTTGTGGCATATAGTGCCACCACCTGACAACACAGAGCACCTAGGCATTGGCACTGACATCCACAGCTTCAGTGATGCCATTGGCATCGACTACTTCTGTGCCAAAACCATTAGCATCACACCATTTCCTGCAACATAAGGACTTATTGGTATCATCGATGCCTGAATACCCGCTCTTCAGCACTGATGTATTTCCTGGTATACATGGTACCAGGCCAACCTGATTAACTGCTGGCCCTTCCATTTTCCATTGAGGAAGAGGATAATGAGAAGGAGGGTGTTTTCTCATTGCACCACTCCTCTCCTGTCCAACCTACTCCTGCTAGGACTACCTGTACGGCTCAGACCTCATCCGGTCCTAACACCCAGAACTGGCATGGCCTGCCTCCACGTATGCCATTCCTCACAGAGTGGCCTTATTGTGACACCAGGGCTGCAATATACCAAGCCCCCGAGTCTGCACAGGGAAAGGCTTCAGTCTCTCCCATCACCCTCTGTGGCTGCACTATCAGAGCCCATTGAGGAGAGCTTTGAGGAACAAGAGGAAGCCCTGGAACAGTACACGACACCACCTATCAATATTTCCTCCTCTTCCACAGATGAGGCCATAATGCCTTCACCACCCACAGCCGTGGACAATTTCAAACACTTTCAAGAACACTTCAGGAGAGTTGCAGACTGCCAGGAGGTCGCACTAGAGAATATCCCAGAGTCCCACATTCTGCAGAGTTAATTGGCTTCAAAAATAGTGCTTCCAATAAATGATGCATTCATGAAACCAGCCAAAACCATATGGCAGACTCCAGGAACAATAACATCCACCTGCAAGAGAGCTAATGCAAAGTATTATGTTCCTTCAAAGGGGATACACTTATTATTTTCCCACGCAGCACTGAACTCTCTAGTCGTCAACCAGCATGATAGACAACATTGATATAGATCCACCTCCAAGGAGTGGAAATGACTATAACTTTTTGGTCAGATGGCCTACCCTTCAGCAACCTTGCAGTTACGAATTGCCAGTTACTCAGCATTGATGGCAAAGTACAACCACGTAAACTACTCCAAACTTGCAGAATTTATTAATGATATTCCAGAAGAGAAAAGGGATGAATTCAAATCCATCTTAACTGAGGGTGAGCTTCTGGCCAAAACCACCCTACAGGCTTCCCTAGATGTGGCAGCCCTGGCAGCATGATCACGGCTACTGCCATTGTTATGCACCAAGTGTCGTGGCTTCACGTGTCCGGTTTCCCCAGGGAAGTCCAGTCTGCAATGGAGGACCTCCTCTTTGATGGCCAGAAACTGTTTGCCTCAAAGACAGACCAAGCCCTCCACACCCTGAAGGACTCTTGGGCAACTCTCCGCACCTTGGGGACGTATACACCTGCAACCAAAAGAAAACAGGGTAGATATTCTCCCTACCAGCACACACGGTCGCCCCATATGCTCAACAACAGAAACACTACAAGACAAAGTGACAGGCTATGAAGGCAGAGACCTTCGAGGCGTCGACCACCTCCGCCTCAAGCATCTGCGTCTCAGCTATCCTCTGCTAAACAACAATTTTGCGGATTTGGTCGAGGGTTCGAGCAACCTCCCCACCCATCAGTGCTGAAGCATGTCCATCCTCTGTTTTTGGCCACCTTTTGACCCCTTTCTATTCAGCGCGGATTTCCATCACCACAGACAAATGGGTCCTTGAAATAATCCATACAGGCTACGCAATACCATTCATCTCCATCCCCCCAACCCCTCTCCCTCCCCATCCTTCTTCACAGACCTTTTTCATGAACAACTTCTATGGCAGAAAGTAAACCATCTGTTACATATGGGTGCTGTATAACCAATACCAGCTCAACACAGAGGGAAGGGCTTTTATTCCCACTATTTCTTAACCCAGAAAAAGAATGGAGGATGGAGGCCTATTCTAGACCTCAGAAATCTCAACAGATTCATAAGGATCCAACGGTTCCAGATGGTCCCACTAGCACTGAAAGGGGGACTGGTTTTTAGCTCTCGACCTCCAAGATGCTTATTTCTACATAACCATACACCCTGCTCACAGGATGTTTCTCAGATTTACTCTGGGAAGAGAACATTACCAATTCAAAGTTCTGCCTTTCAGTTTCTTGCCAGCACCATGAGTGTTCTCCAAAATTCTTGCAGTGGTGGCAGCGAATCTCCGCAAACAAGGTGTAATAATATTCACCATCTGGAAGATTGTCTATTAAAAGCTCCCACTCAGGCAGACGCCCTCGACATTACACACAGGACACTCAACCTCTTCCTGAGACTGGGTTTACAAAAAAACATACAAAAATCAACTCTAAATCCCATACAGAAGTTAGACTTCATTGGGGCCCATCTCGACTCTCTAGAAGCCAGAGCATCATTACCAATGAACAGGTTCACCACTCTATCCAACCTCATCTCATCATCATTGAACAGTCCTCACATATCAGCACGAACCTGCCTCCAACTATTAGGACATATGGTGGCAACCACATTCCTGGTATGATATGCACATCTTCACATGTGTTGTCTTCGGGGCTGGCTAAGAATCATCTACATACCACACAAACACAGCCTAAACAGACGCCTTGCAATGCCAAAGACTCTCTACACTGGTGGATGCAATCCAACAATGTGTGCATGGAAGTCCCTTGCCCTCAGACTCCACCTTCAATAATAATCACAACCGATGCCTCCTTGGTAGGCTGGGGAGCCCATCTACAACACCACAGGATTTGGGACAGGTGGTCTCTTTGTAAGACACTCTTACATATAAACCTCTTAGAACTGCTTGCAGTTCACAACACGTGCTTGCACTTCCTGCCACTGATCAGGAAGGAGAATATACAGGTAATGACCGACAACATTGCCTGCATGTTTTATATAAATCAACAGGGAGGGGCACAGTTCACACACCCTAATGGGGACACAGTTCACATCCCCTATGCACCGAAGCCATGGAACTATGGAACTGGTGTGTCTGGCACAATGTCAACATCTAAGCCTTGTACCTCCCAAGTCATCAAAATACTACAAGGGATACATTGAGCAGAGAATTTTCCCAGGATCGTGAATGGGAACTAAATAACACAGTCCTACAAAACATATTCAGACACTGCGGTCACCCATCCGTTGCAACATCCTGGAACAACAAATGCCCACAATTCTGCTCAAGAGCAGGTATGGGGCTGCAGTTCCTGTGGGATGCCTTCCTCTTCAAATGTGATGCATACATGTTATATGCATTCCCTCTGATCCCCCTGTTATCAAGGGTGATACACAAAATATGTACCAACAAGGTCAAAGTCATATTGATAATCCCAGCGTGGCCCAGACAGACTTGGTACTTGTACCTATTGCAGATGGGGGTATGCTCACCATTCACTCTTCCACCTCTGCGAGAAATTCTATCACAGGTTGCTGGATGGGTTCACCACCCGAAGCTGGAGAGACTTCACTTGAAAGCATGGCTTCTACATGGCTCTATCATGACAAACTAGCCTGTTTGGACCGGGTTAAAGACCTATTGCTAAACAGTTGAAGGACAACCATGTGTGATACTTACTTTCACAAATGGAAGAGGTTCCACATGTGGTGCCAGAACAAACATATTCGTGCCATTTCCATACCCCTACCCTGGATATTGGACTATATTTTGAGACTAAAGACATCTGGAGGCTCTCCATTAGCTCAGTCAAGGTACATCTCGCGGCTATTACCGTTTTTCACTACAATATTAATGGGACATTGAGATTTGCCCATCCGATCACCAAACATTTTCTTACGGGTATCAAGAATGTTTATCCCGAAGTGTGTGTACCTACTCCACCCTGGGATTTGAACTTCAGTGTTATGCTGCCTCACTGGACCCCCATTCGAACCCGTAGCAACATGCTCTCTGATACATCTATCGATGAAAGTGGTGTTCTTAGTGGCTATAACATCAGCCCGCTGAGTGGGTGAGTTAGGGACCTTCCTGGCACACTCACCTTACACCATCTTTTTCAAGGACAAGGTCGCACCCAAAATTTCTACCTAAAGAATCTTCCTCCTTCAATGTAACCCAACCAATCCATCTTTCCCCATTCTTCCCTAAACCTGACAGGAACATGCGGGAGTCAGTATTACATACCCTAGACATCAGGTGTGTGCTACTGTTCTACCTTGACAAAAGTAAGCCTTTCAAAAAATCTCCGAGGGTTTACATTTCCAGTACGGAGTGTTCTACAAGGCTCCGCTTTCTCTACACAGAGACCATCTAAATGGATCTCCGGGTGCATCCACCTCTGTTATCAACAAAAGAACCTTCAACCCCATTGGGGATCAGAACTCACTCTACCTGATCCCTTTCAACTTCATGATTTTGTTGTTTAGAAAAGCTACTGGACATATGTAGAGCAGCCACTTGGGCTTCTGTACACACATTTACAAAACACTGTGCAATCAACCAGAGTTCAAGATCAGATGCATTGGTAGATCTTACAGTATTATCATCACTTACACAGGCAACTCTGAAGCCCCTTCCATCCAATTGTAGGGCACTGCTTGACAGTCACCTGAAGTGGAGCACCCACAGGGACACTCCTCGAAGAGGAAGAAAAGGTTACTCACCCTCTGCAGTAACTTATGTTCTTTGAGATGGGTGTCCCTGGGGGTGATCTACCACCCACTCTCCTCCCCTCTACTTCGGAGTTCAATTTCTGGACTGAGAGGGGTTGGGTCGCATGCACTGTATAGCGCGAGACAAGGACAGCGCATGCACAACCTGGACGGACACTGCTGCTGAAATTCTCCGATCAAAGGCGCAGGGATACACCAACACCTGAATTGGAACACTCATAGGGCCACCCATCTCAAAGAACCTCAGTTACTGCACAGGGTGAGTAACTTTCCTTTCATACACAAACTCTGTGTTATACATTTGATATTAGGAAATAAAAAGACAAAATGTCCTGGATAAATAAGCGCAAACTAGAACTTCTTTCCATCCTAAATAGAGTAACACTTTAATGAACACATTAACAAAGAGCCCATCCAGAGGGAGAGGGGTGAAAGTAAAATGCTTGTTTAATATATTAAAAAGTGCTTTGCCTTGAGTTGGATGTTTGTTTCTTGTCATTGCTTCTATTTTGCTCAGCCTAGCAGCCTAAAGTTCTCAGCATTTGTGAATAAAGAGTGACTTTCTCTTTAGTTTTAAATGACACTTAAGTCTTTCTGAGTTTAGTATTAGCTTTACTGAAAAATTATGTAATTTGTGGCTCTATGGAGACCGTTGAATAGATTGTAAACCAGTTTCTGATGTGCTTTAATATTGGTTTAAAAGTCAAAAAGAAATGTTTATATTTAAGAATTAAACTCCTTAAATATTAATTCTTTTATGATAAGGAATTATTATTAAATCAGGTTGGAAATTGGTTTCACCTGGTTTCAGCCTCTTCTACTGGGCATTCACACTGCTAATGTCACAAATTACCTCTTTTCAGCAAAGTGGCAGCCTCAAGTGCTATATTTAGAAAGGTTTTATTCTAATTAAAGATTTTTAAAAAATATAGTAAGGCTGATACCAATTTAAGCAACTAGCAAAGGATGTAAGTGAGGACCACTTACATGATTAAAAATTGCACTCTAGGGAAACATTTTCACTGTCTCCATTGTACCCTGTTAGAACTTCAGTTAAAGATAAGCAACTTCCCTACAGTGTAGCTATTTTAGTATTACTAAAAATTATTGAAATCCTTATTAAAATCTTGTTCATTAGTCTGTGAACCAGTCTCACAATGCACAGTTTTAAACAGTCTTCGTACATTGAAATAGTTGATTGTAACTTGATTCAGTATTGCAAATTGAACAAGTCTGAAATAAATGGAAAGGGTCAGTGTTTGGGAAATCTGATTCTAAACTTAGGAATTATTTTTTTAAAAAGCCTGATTCTGAGACCAATAATAACATTTTCATTACTTAAAAAAAATCCCAACATTATGCAAACTCCAACTTCTCCTCCCCTCTTCTCCCCCTATAAATATGTTGTTTTAAAATGTAAGCAACTTGTCTTTATTTTGTGACATATGTTTTGTATTCTTATTTTTTCCCCTAGGAATTTCTACGGAAAGAGTTTAGTGAAGAAAATATTTTATTCTGGCAGGCCTGTGAATATTTTAACCATGTACCTGCACATGACAAAAAAGAGGTAAAATAATGCTATATATTCAGGTATAAAGTTGCTAGCTAAAAGCTATTCTCCTCCAAGGCAATTGAGATAATTTGGACTGTTCTTGGTCTTTGTCTTGCGGTTCTATCTGAGCTGGGCTGGGGACACAGTCATTTTGTTTCAGGGGTCTCTCTTGGTGATCTCAGTTCTATGAGAGTATCTCCCAGAATCCAATTGTAGTTATATTTAGGACTCTGTAAAAGGCCTTTCTATTCCATTTAGTCCTTATTTGAGTCCTTATTTAGTCCTTATTTTGTGGGACACCCTACTTTTGTAGAATTATAGAAATGTAGGACTGGAAGGGACCTCAGGAGGTTATCTAGTCCAGTTCCCTGTGCTGAGGCAGGACCAAGCAAACCTAGACAGTCCCTGACAGATGTTTGTCTAACCAGTTCTTAAAAACCTCCAATGACGAGGATTCCATAATTTGCCTTGAAAGCCTATTTTAATGCATAAGTATCGTTACAGCTAGAAAGTTTTTGTAACATCTAACCTAAATCTCCCTTTCCATTGATGAAGCTGATTACTTCTTGTCCTACCTTCAGTGGACATGGATAACAGTTGAGTACTGTCCTCTTTATAACTGTCCTTATAGGCTGTTATCTTTTCTCCCCTCGGTCTTTCTTTCTAAAAACTAAATGTACCAAGTTTTTTTAACCTTTCCTTATAGGTGAGATTTATTAAACCTTTTTTCATTTTGGTTGCTCTCCTCTGGGCTCTCTCCAGTTTGTCAACATCTTTCTTAAAGTGTGTCACCCAAAACTGGACACAGTACTGTGGCTGAGGCCTCACCAGTGCAGAGTAGAGCAGGGTAGTTACCTCCCATGTTTTACATATGATACTTCAGTTAAAACACCACATAATGATATTCGCTTTTTTTCACAACTGCATCACATTGTTGACTCATATTCAATTTGCGACTCACCATAACCCGTAGATGCTTTTTGGCAGTACTACCACCTAGCCAGTTATTTCCCATTTTGTAGTTGTGCATTTGATTTTTTTCCATCTTAAATGCACTACTTTGAACTTGTCTTTATTGAATTTCATCGTGTTGATTTCAGAATGATCCCTCAATTTATCTGGTCATTTTTAATTCTAAGCCTATCCTCCCAAGGGTTTTCAATCCCTCCCATCTTGGTATCATCAGCAAATTTTAAAGCATACTCACCACTCCATTATCCAGGTCATTAATGAAAATATTGAATAGTACTGGACATAGGACAGTCCCCTCCAGGACCCCACTACATCCCCCCAGCAAACCACTGATAACTATGCTATATCTTTAAATCAGTTTTACACCCACCTTATAGTAATTTAATCTATACCACATTTCTGTTGTTGGTTTATGAGAATATCATGTGGGATTGTGTCAAAAGCCTTTCACTAGTACTCCCTTGTTTTTCTGAAACCACCTAAGGGTATTGAACCCAATTTGGTTTAATTTCCTTTCATTGTATTCAGAATTTAGTTGTTTATAAAATAAGCAAGTAAAAAATAGAAAGATCAAGATTTTTTTTTACTGCAGATATTCAAGTATATGGTTAAATTTTACTGCCTTCTCTAATTTAAGTCTTAAAGAATTTTTTAATGATTTTTTTTTAAAAAGCACTAAGTCACAAGCTTTTATTATACTTTTGAAGAAACATTTGACAGGCTTGACATTTATTATTATTGCACTTTGAATATTTTAAATTTTATGGTAAATTCTCTTGATCGGAACATTTAATTACTTAGGAACTGCTCTGACAAAAATATTTGTAATGTTAAAGGGAATAAAAATGTTGGCAACCTAAAAATTTACAAAAAGAGATGTTTACTAAAATTGCAATAAACAGTATCTTTTAGATTTTTAAATCTCAACAAAGGAAAACAAAAGGAGTAATGTAGGTGGGCAAAAGACATCAGTGTTTATTTGAAAGATTGAAAAACTAAGCTCCTTCCTTTTCTCTAGAGACCAAATTAAGGCTCCCCATATACTGAGATACATAATTGCTTATCTTTTTCATTTGGGAACTAGAGTGTACAGCAATAGCATATTTAACATACAGTTGGATTGTTATAAACACATCAGAAGCAGGAACCATACTAGTGAGTGGGGCCACTGGCTGAGGTGCTAAAGGAGCACTCAAGGAAGACAGTTCCATTGTGGAGAAGCTAAATGAATTCTTTTCATTGGTCTGCACTGCAGAGAATGTGAGGGAGATTTCCACACTTGAGCCATTCTTTTTAGGTGACAGATCTGAGGAACTGTTCCAGATTGAGGTGCCAGTGGAGGAGGTTTTGGAACAAATGGATAAATTAAACAGTAATAAGTCACCAGGACCAGATGGTTATCACCCAATAGTTCTGAAGCAACTCAACTATGAAATTGCAGAGCTACTAACTATGGAATGTAACCTATCACTTAAATCAGCCCCTGTACTAGAAAACTGACGGATAGCTAATGTGACGCCAATTTTTAGAAAAGGCTCCAGAGGCCATCCTGGCAATTACAGGCGGGTAAGCCTAACTTCAGTACCTGACACAGTGGCTGAAACTATAATAAAGAATAGAATTATCAGACACATAGATGAACACAATATGTTGGGGGAAGAGTCAACACAGCTTTAGTAAATGGAAATCATGCCTCACCAATCCAGTAGATCTTTAGAGAGGGTGAACAAACGTGATCAAGGGTGATCCAGTGGTTACAGTGTACTTGGATTTTCAGAAAGCCTTTGGCAAAGTGCCTCAACAAAGGCTCTTAAGCAAAGTAGACAGTCATGGGATAAGAGGGAAGGTCCTCTCATGGGTCAGTAACTGGTTAAAAGGTAGGAATAAATGGTCAGTTTTCAGAATAGAGAGAGGTAGATAGCGGGGTCCCCCAAGGATCTGTACTGGAATCTGTGGTGTTAAACACATTCATAAATCATCCGGAAAAGGCAGTGAACAGTGAGATGGCAAAATTTGCAAATGATATCTAATTACTAAGGATAGTTAGATCCAAAGTTAACTGCAAAGAGTTACAAAGGGATTTCACAAAACTGGGTGACTGGGCAACAAAATGGCAGATGAAATTCAATGTTGAGAAATGCAAAGTAATGCACACTGGAAAATATAATCCCAACTCTACATACAAAATGATGCTGTCTAAATTAGCAGTTATCACTCAAAAAAGAGATCTTGGAGGCATTGTGGCTAGTTCTCTGAAAATATCTGCTTAATGTACACTGGCAGTCCAAAAAGCTAACGGCCTGTTAGGAACCAATAGGAAAATAATTGATAATAAAATAGAAAAGATCATAAAGCCTCTATAAATATAAAAGTCCATGGTACCATCCACACCTTGAATATTGCATCCAGTTATAGTTGCCCCATCTCAAAATAGTTATATTAGAATTGGAAAAGGTAGAGAAAAGGGTAACAAAAATGATTAAGGGTATGGAACTACTTCCATATGAGGAGAAATTAAAGACTGGGACTGTTCATCTTAGAAAAGAGACGAATAAGGAGGGATATGATTGAAGTCTATAAAATCATGAATGGTGTGGAGAAAGTGAATAGGGAAAAATTATTTACCCCTTCACATAACACAAGCAGTAGGAATAACACAATAAATTTAATAGGCAGCAGGTTTAAAGCAAAAAAGGAAGCAGTTCTTCACAGAACACACAGTCAACCTGTGGAATTTATGACCAGGGAATGTAGTGAAGGCCAAAAGTATAAGTGGGTTCCACAAAGAATTAGATAAGATCATGGAGGACAGGTGCATCAATGGCTACTAGCCAAGATGGTCAGGGACGGAACCCCATTCTCTGGATGTCCTTAAACATCTGACTGCAAGAAGCTGGGACTGGGTTACAGGGCGTGGATCACTTGAATAAGTGCCCTGTTTTGTCTGATCCCTCTGAATCATCTGGCATCTGCCTCTGTCGGAAGACAGGGTACTGGTCTAGATGGACCATTGGTCTGACCAGTATGGTCATTATTATGTTTTTATGTCTTGTTTTGTAAAAATAAATTAATGCTGATAAGAATTCTGTTTTGTAGCTTTCTTACAGAGCTCGAGAGATCTTCAGCAGGTTTTTGTGTAGCAAAGCTACAACCCCAGTTAATATTGATAGCCAGGCACAGTTGGCGGATGATATTCTCAGTGCTCCACGTCCAGATATGTTCAAAGAACAGCAGCTTCAGGTAGCTACTAAATATTTAACTGCTCTTTATTAACATATGTAATTTACTTTTTCCTTTAATGTGTTATATATTTGTTTATGTATTTTTAAACAAACAAACATTTTCACTTGCTGCATTTTTTGTCACATGTACGAAGAAAATAGATGATAGCAAATATAAAAACAGGTTATGTAATCTAGTAATTGTACCTTGGAATTCCCACACAGGAGTTTGCATGGGAGAATTTGCATAAGGGTGTGTGGGTGTGTGCACGCGCGCACGTTTGTTGTATGAGACTACTAACTGTTAACACATCAAACAATCTAAAAATCTTAATTCAATTGAAATGTTACTTCAGCAATAAGGGATAGTATAAATAATGCTATTTGGATACATTTCTGCCATTTTCAACCCAAATGGTTCATGAAAGTGTTTGTCTTTAGGGACTTTTGCTTTTACTTTGATGAAATGGTCAAATAAGGGGCGTTTTAAAGCTTTGTCTCTGAAAAAACTCTAAAGGTTGATGCAATTTAAATAGTATAACCTTTTGCATTCAGAACAAAACAGTTACTGAACAATTGGGAATACTTTCTACAGAGCCTGCTGGTCTAATTTTCTTACTCTTTTGATGTGTTGCATTTGTGCTACTACATACCTATTATCAGAGTGGGTAGGCCCTAGAAACAATTTTAAAAGAGGAATTCTCAGGAACCTAGGCTATAACTTGACCAGCTAAAATTAAGCTAATGGTGTTTCCGTTAGCATCTTAGTCCTAGCTCGGACAAAGCCTTACTTTGTATTCTTTCAGGGAATGTAGATTGGCAGGTACTGTATCTTCCTCTAACTGGCAAGTGCCTAGCACATGTTGCGCACAACCACATTGTAAATTACTAGCAACCTGTCAGATATGGAACTGAGACCTTTTAAAATGCAATTTCTGCTGTAACTTATTGTATATTCTTCTGTGAATATACCTTTGGCGCAGTAATAGATTATCCTGTCTTAAATGGAAACTATTTTCTGCAAAGTCTTTTTATTCCATACTTAAGCTGGGCCATCCAGGTTTGAAGTAGTAAACATTTATTGTTGTGGTTTATTATTTATTTATTTGATTTTTTTCATGACCCAAATACTGGAGTTGAACACAAATGAAGGAGACCTTGTAGTGCAGTGTTTCCTTAAACTTTTTGTGCTGGCAATCCTGTTTGGAATAAATAAATAAAGTGTGATCTCCCTGATAAAAAATCTTGTGACCCCCCCACCTTAGGCTGCGGGCTTCGGGCTTCAGCCACCCTGCACGGCGCGGGGCTTCAGCCATCCTGCATGGCTCGGGGCTGAAACATATATATTAGCTTCCTGGGGTCCCCTGTGACATAGGGTCCCTTGCAATTTCCCTGCTTCTAGCCCCCTAATGCTGGCCCTGCTTGTGAAACACCCTCCCCCCCACCCCCAAGACCTATCCCATGACCTCCAAGTTCAGAAACACTGCTTTACTGGGTAATACTGTAGTCCATTCCCTTGCAGTGTATATTCTTCACATTGCAGAGGATTGATTATATGACATACTCTTTTCTAATCCTATGATTCCTGTTGCTCCAGAACAGAATCCAGAACAGGAGAAGATATTTGTTGAAGCAACCTTTCTTAACTGGGATAAAGATAGCCTTAAAATATCTAGTTAGGTGTCTGTTTTTATGTTTTAGTAGCATAGAAACAGACATTTCAGGGTCCAAAGACAACATAGCCCGTTTGAAGATAAACTGTAGTACACATATTTCTAGCATAAAAATGACCTGAATTAAAAGGATATTGATAACCTATAGCTGCTTCTAAGAATATAAATAATTATTCTGCATTCTGCTTCCTCTGGGGTTATAGAGTTTGTCATCTTAGCATTTTGCATATTTTTTTCCAAAAGGATTTTGTTTCTGACTGCCAGAATCTCCCTTCCTGGATTACTGATTGTCTCCGTGGGTCACAACTGAGAATACCAAATTCAGGACAAGCTACTGGGAAAAAGGGCAGACATACCCCAAAACCAGTGGTTATTCTTCCATGAGATATACCAATCAAGCAACAAAAGTAAACTTCTGTCTCCCCACACTGGCTAACAAGAAGTCAGAAATGCAGCCTCCTTAGGTATTCCAGTCCTAGATTCAACACCTAGACACTAGACTTAATGATGAGTGGTTATTTAAAACCAATTTCATCAAACAAAAGGGTTCTTCTGATCCCAATGGACCAACCACATACCCAGGTCAATATATAACTCAGATATTACGCAATAATCACACTGTTGCCAATCCTTTAGTATCTAATATCTAAAGGTTTATTTATAAGAAAGAAATTATTTATAAGAAAGAAAGAGGAAAAAAGAAAGAAAGAGAAAGGTGAGAGTTAAAATTCGCTAAAAGAGTCAAATACATACAATAATTGCAAAGTTCTTGGATCAGGCTTTTAGCAGTGATGGAATAAACTGCTGGCTTGTTAAGTCTCTGGTTGCTTCCAAATCCTTGGAAGTCCTTTGGTTAGAATGCTCCCATTACTATAAGTCCATAGTCCAGAGGTTTGAGCAGGAAAAAGGCAAAATGGAGATGTTTCCAGGGCCTTTTATAGCTTCTGCCAAGTGAAGGGAAAACCATTGTTCTAGTTTGTGGAAAATTACAGGTAACAAGATGAGGTTTGGAGTCACATGGACAAGTCACATGTCCATGCATGCTTTACTTAATCATAGCAGAGGCCATTACCCATACTCTAGTTAGAACGTCCTCAGGAAAGTCCATTAAGTGTAGATAGGTGTCTTCCATAGTCCATTGTGAGTTAAGTCTTCATTGATGGGCCATTCAACTTGAATAGTTCCTTCACAATGTGTTGGCTAAATATCTTGTTGGTCTTACCACAGAAGCAAACATTTGCAATACAGATACATAGTTAATATTCATAACTTCAGATACAAATGACACATGCATACAAATAGCATAATCATATTCAGCAAATCATAACTTTTCTATTAACAGCTTACTTGACACATTTTGTATAAGATTTGTTGCAATTATATAACAGTGGTAGCAACAATGATCTATCATGTTTTAATCATATAACGTCACACTGTTAAACCTCTCTGCAGTGCACGTAGCAAGAGCTTCTCTGCAGGAAACAGAAGCAGTCCTACAAGGAGCAGAGAGGTCTACTTAAGTTGCTAAAAAAAATAAAATAAAAAAAGCTATATTTCTCTTATTCCTCTGTACGTAGAAGTGATAACATCAATAGTGCTTTGCACATATGAACAAAATATGCTACAATTCAACCAAAGATTTACATTTCCATTTTCTGAAATATACCTCTGGAAGATACTTAAAGGCCTTGAAAGTGCTATATCTGGACATGCAAGTAATTTCTTAGGTGATACTACATTCCTGACACAAGGGGAACATAATCTGCTCTACTGTTTTACTTCTCATCCTCAGGATTAAAACTCATAAATGACTGTAGCAGTTTGAGTACCATTTTCTCTAGGCGATGTACAACAGAGACTCTGAATTCTTGTATTGATGGGGTTAATAATGAGAATTCACTTTGCTCCAGTTTCTGATTAGTCTAGTTATAGGCTTTCTGGAGGAACAGTTTCTAAAGCATACTGTTGGGTATAATGAGAGTGATGTTAAATTCAGGCAAGCTGGGGATGGAGCACATGTTAGGGAAATAATAATACAGGGCAAATGGTAATCAACTGATGATAAAGTAACTTAAACTTAAAGCACTGCATTAAGACTACAATGACTGTGCATAAAGTGAAGGGGTTGGCATGTTTTGCGCACTCTCTCTCTCTCTGTCTCTGTTATTACTGTGACAAGGCTGCTTGTATACCTGCTTGGAGATTAAAGGAAAGTTGTTACAGAATATAATGCAGGATTTAGAAGGGCATGGATAGCAATTTCCCCTTCTTCTTCAAGTGGTTGTTCATGTCAATTCCAATCAGGTGTGTGTGCGTGTGTGTACGGCAGCCAGAAAACTTCCCTTAGCAGCATCTGTTCAGTCGGCCTGGGCTCCCACTGGAGTCGCACCTTCATGGCATTCAATATAGAGCAAAGCCGACCGGCCACCCCCTCAGTTCCTTCTTACCGCCGGTGATGGCTAGCTGGAACAAACTGTTGCTCTTGCTTTGCAAATGCATTTGGGCAGTGTGCACTTTTAGTGTTAATAGTTAGTTCTCAGTTGTTTACTAGTGTTAATTTAGTATTAGTAGTTAGGACATAAATTTCCTTTTGGGGGTCTAGTGCCCCCCCCCCACGCACACACACCAACGCTCCCCCGGCACCGGGGTATGCCTCGGTCCCCAGGGTTCAAACTTTGCGGGGACTGTGGAAAATTTATGCTTAAGAGCCACCAGAAGGAGAGGTGCAGAATTTGCAAAGGATTTTGCCCTAGGACCTTAAAAGACCGGGAGCAAAGGCTCAAGATCCTTCTCATGGAGGCTGCACTCTGGACACAATCTGACCTGGGGTCAGCAGAACCCACACCCAGCACTGACGATGCGTAAGCCTTTGCCGTGCAAGGGCCACGAGGAGTCGCAGCACCGCCACGGCTCTGCCCATAGACAAACTTCTGTGAGGCACCAGTCTCAGTCCCTGGTGCCCAAGAAAAAGAAAAGGCCAGAGAGGGGTTGCTCTCCCCTTCCAAACCCAAGGAGCCTGTGGCAGGGAGACTCAAACCGGGCCACGTCCCCTCCCTCCCATGTCCCCTCCCAGGGGTCCAGTTGAGTCTGAACCCTCGCTGCTCTCTGAACTGACATGGTGGAGAGCTCCAGCTCCCCTCTATGTCAGAAGCATTCAAGGCAACTCAGGACCTTATACGCCTCACGGCGCCATCCTCCCAACAGAGGAGGGACAAGTCGCCGGTGACCGCCCGATCCCATCAAGGAGTAAGCCGGCAATGATGGCACACCAATCTCCATCTCCGGCACACCAATCTCCATCTCCAGCACACCTTTCCCAGGCATGGTCCACCCACGTGGGGGAGCC